CTGGCTGGGACCAAGGTCGTGGGCTCTTCTCTCTGCAGCAGGGTGGGTCTGAGGACCCTCCTCACAGTCCTCTGGACCCTGGCCTCAGCCTCCTCTTCACCTCCCACTTTCGCTCTGCTCTCCTCCCAGGCCGCAGGTTTCTGCTATAATCCCCCTCTCTGGATGAGCTGTGGCCTCCATCTGCCATTGCGGATGCCTTCCCCTACCCGCCTGCTCCCCCTGGAAAGGGGGTAAAGCCTGATGATGTGTGGAGGCCAGACAACTCCTGTGTCCCTGCTCAGGGGTTGGACCAGGACAGCTGCCCTCTGAGCACCCTCCCTGGGGCACAGCCCCCAGGAATGCCCATCCTGGAGAAGGTGCATTAGATCATATGATCATAAGTTAAAACCCAACAGCCACCACTCTTTGTGCTTTATGATCTCATATAACTTCCCAACAATTCTGTGAAGTAAGAAACACTGTCACCCTCTTTTTACCGATGGGTAAACTGAGGCACAGAGAGGTGAAGTAACTTGTCAAAGATCAAACAGTTAACAAAAGGCAAAGCTACTTCTGTTTTTATACGTAAAACTTAGGGACTCTTTAAAAAGAAAACATAAAATCACAATGATATTCTCACACCTAGCATGTTATTAGTGATTTCTGAATAAGTATGATGGCCAGTCAGGTGTCAGCTGGCAAAGTCAGGATTTGGGCCCTTGGCTCACGCCACCCTGCCTCTCTGTGCAGGTGGGACAGGCACAGGTACACCTGTCCCAGCTCAGACCTGGGCGCTACACCTGTAACCTAGGCCCCGCCTCTCAGATGCTGCAGGAATGACTCTGCATTTGGGCGACCCCAGACCTCACGGATGGAGAGGTGGAACACAGGGTCATCGTTACCTCGACATGTGTTCTCACTCTCATTCCTGAATGTTAGTGCCCCAGAAACAAGTGCATATCCTGGGATGCACGTGCAGTAGTAGCTCCCTTCTGTGTTCTTGCAGTCTGCCAATTGTCCACAGGACACTGTCAAGGGTGGTCTGCACTCATTGATGTCTGGAACACAACAGGGCAAAAGGTCACCTTCCAAAGGCATGAGTTCCCTCAAGGCAGAGATCCCCATCCCCTACGTGACTCCTCAGCATTGGATCTGATGCTTAATCAGTGTCGTTTTGGAAAGAATTAGACTCCCAGGCAAAACTGCAGAGCCTGGGCTGCACCTGGAGCAAGCCATTCCTGAAGCTGTGAAATCTGCTCTTCTTGGCCCTCTGGATTTGGACACAGTGGGAAGTGCTGAAGTCGGGGGTGGTGGAAGCTCTGAAGCCCCCTCCCCAGTTCTGCAAGGACAAACTGAGGCACAGACTCATGGGGACTCAGCTCCTCTCTCCCCAGGGAGCCATGCTTATTCACCTCTTATCTCTCCACTTTCATAGTTTTCCTTCCTCCTTTTTCTGTCCTTGATGACAATTCTGAGGACAAAGGGTGAGGTCCCCAACCAATACCCATGTCCCCCACGGTCACTGCGTTGTACCCCACAAGCTCTGCAGGTCTTTCCACCACCCCCGAGCCTCTGTACCATCACAACTCTCCAAGAGGCTGGTGAAGATCTCTGAACCAGATGAAGAACTGAATCCCGGAAGGCAGCGACAGGAGGTACCGTCGACACATGAGGAGTTCGGAGGGCACCACCGAGCACAGGCTGCGGGGGCAGATGTGGGGAAGGGGACCATGGTCAGAAGGCCCAGGGAATGAAGTAAACCAGCTGCCAGCTGGGGGTCCAAGAGCAGAGGAAGGGAGGGAGAGGAGAGATGACTGGCATTAAAAGAGAAAGAGCTCAGAACACCCTGGGCATTTGGGGGAAGAAGAAACAGCTTCTGTTATTTCCAGCAAACCATTTCTGAACCTCACTTGCAAAATAAGCCTCCTTTCCCCCCTCGTTGGTGAGAGAACCCTGCCCCTGGCATGCAGTCTCCATCTTCCATCACAAACGGGGCCGGCTGGCAGACGCACCTGTCGAGTTCTGGGCTGCGGGTCCCAATGGCAACAGCAGCAGCACCAAGAGTCCTGGGGCAGAAAGACAGAGAGATGGCGAAGACAGGAACGTGGAGCTCCAGTTTCAGCCCCTTTCTGCGTGGCCCCTGACTCCTAGGGAGGTAGCTCTGGTCCTGCAGCCCACCGCCTTCCAGCGGCATCCCCAGGTTTCCTGCACTTCTCACAGAATCCAGGACTCCACCTTTCCCTTTCATCTCCAGGGACTCCCCAAGGAATCAGTCACTGAC